ACTTGAATTTTAATATCCGTACCATTTGCTTTACCTTTATTTGTCAGGTAAACATTTAAACTATCATATCGATCTATATTAGTTCCAAATGTGTTGTTTGTTGACATTGGATTTCATATACCATTGCTTTTATTAGCACCGGTTGACTGTGTTATGTTAATAGATCGTTATGATTTGATCGAGATATAAGGATTTTAATTTTTGCTAGTAACAGGCGAAAAACCGGTTTTTCACAATAATGCCTCTGGCGAAGTTATATTCATTTCTACACAAAAACAAATGTTGCCACTATGCTCAGCGTAGTCGATTACCTATAATCCATGGTATTCTGAGATTTCCAGAGATGTCTGCTCGGAGATAGACACGTGCTCGGGTAAAGCGAGCCCTGCCCGAACGACGATAGCTAGAGAGCCGGGAGTTGCATAATTTTGTAGAGTAACGTCCGAACTATCTACGCATGCAAAAAAGCTACTAACATTGTATGTTAGTTTTCGAAGAACGGAGCTGGTTTTCCAAAGATCCTCTGGAAACCCGAGCTCTGGAATTTTTTCAAAAGTTGCTTTCGCTTGTGAAAAGTTCTGCTCAAGTTTTGGCTATTGAACAGTGAAAATCGCAGGTCTCTATCTCATTCCTATCAAAAGTTATTCAAAAAGTGGCACCCGGCACTGTATTTTGGTATGGATAGTAGTTATTCCTTATCAACGCCAGAACTGCTTAAACTTATTCATTTCTAATAAAAAACATACAGTCGAAAACCAACTTGTCAATTAAAATCGAGATTTATATTTTTGTTTGTTGTTTCCTTGTGTTTTATTGCGTAAAACCACAAAGTGCCAGAGGAAACATTTTTTTGATTCTCTGCGCGTGAAAACGATTGAAGTTAGACCATGAAAACGCGTTTCCGTTTTTTTGCGCATTTTGACAAAAACTTCCGCATTTCTGACTTGAGCATCTGGCAACTCTGGTTGTGAGAGCCGTTAGTCTAATATCTGAACTTGCTTGCAAATTAGAAAGAATCGAGTATAGATCCTGACTAGTATGTATATTGTGTACAATCAGCCGGACGCAGATGCGAATCTAAAGATTTGAAAAAGTATGGGTACGTATCTGATTCGAAACAAGTGGACTATAGAAGGAGATTTCCAAAAATTTATGCAGGTAGGGTATTGTAGGGAACAACATAAATAGAAAACTCAATAATTGTATGAAGAACGCTGACATCTTTGTTTCTTCTAAAACGTAGCTTTTTAACTGATGAAAGTTAGAACTGTAGGAGATATCACCATCTGAGACTGATCATACGGTTTTTGTTGCTGCATTACATGGAATGGTGACTGCGTACGCATTGGCACAAATATTTACAGTATTATTTGGTCGTGTTGAATTTGCTGCTATCGACACAGATCGCAATAAATATCCCATCGGTATGTAGATAGGAAGCTCAACTATAAAAACTTATTTAAAATACATCTAATTTGGGGTCTGGTCGTGTTATATTTGTTGATATGCATTCTTATTTTTCTGCAATAACAGCCAATTACATTTTCATTGATTGTGATCGATTTTCAAAAGTGATAAGTATGACAGTACTTTTCTTTTCAAGTGGTTAGCCATAAAGATGTAAAGGAGGTATCTGAGAGGGATATTTTATATAGCAAATCAATAGTGAACGCCAAATTATCCGGTCACAAAAGTAGTGGGGCGTCTGTATTCTAAATATTTCAGTTTTTAGATTAAAATTGATCCATACCCGATCGATACCCATACATGCAGTGGTGCCGATGATAAACAATGTTCAAATACCGGTCAATATTTTTGTCGTAGTTTAAAATGTTGGAAATATTATTGTGCTAATTGTTGGAGTATTAAACATTCGATTGATCCAAAAAAAGCACAAGAATTGAATGTGTATGATGCAGATCGATCAACTCCGGCTATGATTCATAAACCATTGATGCGTAATGCACGTTCACAGTAATCGAACTTGTTCAGTATAAACAGAAGAAAAACAGTACTGTTTTGTTTTTGGCATTTATTCTGTTCGTCGTATGTATGAATTGAGTTATTTTATTTGTTTTTATTGTAAACCATCACAGTAGATCATCGGCTTTTCTTCCTTTTTAGAATACTTTCGTTTTCGTTTGTTTCTAGCTTCTTTCCGATTTGCATGTTGTGCATGTGTACGTGCCAGTATGTGTTGTACAGATGTATTGTTTGTGTTAATACAATTTTTGTGGTTGCTGCTGTTGCTTGCAAGCAGGTTCTCTTATATGTCAGGCTTCAGTATATATGTGTGTATTTATATGCAACTGTACGAAGTATTCAAATCAGCGCTTATTGTTCACAATGTATGTGTGTAACGATTTTTTTTTTCCGTTAAAAATAAATAATAAAGAATTTGATGAAACTGAAAATAATTCAGACTCTAGAAATAAATCCGTTGTGCAACCTGCCGGAAATGACTTCAAAGTACCTACGAAATAGCTCATCAAAATTGAAAAAAATTTAGTTGAATCAAGTTTCGCAGCTGTAATGAACAAATTCTAATTTTGATAGGAACAGAAGTCTGAGTACTGGAAGCTTATAACCTCTTCAAGTAATTCAAGGAATCCACTGAAAAAAAATTGAAATCGCGTGTTGGCACGCAGGAGTTCGCAAAAATTCTGTGGATGTCAGTTATATCCTGCAGGTTTTTGCAATATGCAACACCTTACAAGGTCTGTAGGATTTTATCCTGAAAAACAGAAGCAGTAGCTCACAGAAAAAGCTTTTTTTGAAGACAAGACACGTGTAAGTGTTCCTCTCCTGTGTACTAAGGTTATTTACTATTTAAATCACACATACTGTTATTACCATTTAATTATTATTATGTCTTATAATAAACCAGCAACAGTAGTAATCACAGCCTCATCTCAATCTGGTTTCTACACATCGCGAAATTCAGGTAATAAAAACCTGTTAAACACTCCCTCATTGTCTTCAATTGATGTGACCAGAAAAATGAAAAGCGATCAGTCACTACGTTGCACACTCTCAAAAATGTTTGAAGAAAGTTTTGGTTGAAGGAAAGTTGGTTTTATATGTTTAGAAAATCAGTCTATTTAATCTAATATTCGATAAAGATCTTTATGAATGATGTCACTCAGTTTATTGATGAATGTCTTTGTATTTATAAATAAAAAATTATCAAAAACAAAAGACATTGAACTCGGTGATTTAATATTGGATTCGATTAGCGGTAGATCAATTTTAATATTAAAATTAAACTTTCTGACCATTGATGTAGCGTTATTGATCTACCGCTAATCGAATCCAATATTAAATTACCGAGTTCAATATCTTTTGTTTTTGATAATTTTTTATTTATAAATACAAATACATTCATCAATAAATTGAGTGACATCATTCATATATCAAATTATATCTCTTTCTCAGTCGTGTAAAAATTCATCTCCTAGATTTTCACCGGAAAGATACACCGTGGATGACCTGTTCTCTGATCTTAGCGTTTTCACAGTTTGATGTGCCTCGGTGTCTTCTACAAAATGCTGAAAATCGTTTGTTTATTTCCTTTTTCGTTCAAAAACCATCCACGTATATTCTATTTTGAAATGGTTAGTAAGTTTCTTACACCTTATAACGTATAGAAAGGAGAAAGACTTGATATCGTTCTGCCACGCGGCGGCGCCTTGAATTCACAGATGTAACATCTATTCTTTTCACATATCAGACCTTGAAATTGTACTGGAAAAAAAACTGATTAGATCAATTTTTCATTCCTTCTGATATCGATCGACTATATGAAGATTAAATGAATAGACAGACCATAGCTAGGTGGATCTTGGGATCCATCAACAGAATAAAAATTTGACTGAAAAGGAAAAATAAAAGGAATAGAAACATAGTTTAACGCGTTAGAATTACATGTTGATCCGAAGTATTATGCTAACGAGTGTAAACAGATTCAGAAAGCTTAATTTTTAAAGAGTTTGAACATTTTACGATTTAGAGGAAGCGTTCTCACGCGCTACAGATTCTAACGAGTTCGAATTACCGAATTTGAAACATTTAATGCGTTAGAGTTTTAAGATTCTAGTGATTAACGAATTTGAATGTAGTTTTCATATATTTTTATAAAGCACGTTCACACGCATTAGAGTCCCATATACGTTTGAAAAATAACGCATTTAATCACGGTATGCATAGTTCGCATGTGCCGCGATGTCAGAAAAAGTTTAAAAGCTGCTAAAGAAAAATAAAATGTTTGAACACCTAATACAGATGTATAAATTATTCTTTTGTTTCTTGGCTTTTTTGGCGTTTCAAGTTTCCCGATTTAGGAAATTTAGGATCATTGTTAACGAAGCACCGCTAGTCGTTCCGTTTTTACAGATTACATTTTTGTTTCAACAAAAAGAAAAGAACTCCTTCACCCGTCGAGATATTTAGGTATCTACATTTTGCAAGCACAAAAGGTGAGATAAGAAAGTTCGCATGAATGTTCGAAATCTATTCTGACACGTTTTCATTTTTCATTTATACGATCATAATGACGCTTAGTATATGATTCGTTTTTGAGCTGGATTTGATCGAGAGATAATCTATGAGGGTAATACCAAGAGCTCCAGAAATTGACCCAGGGTACTCTCATTCAGCCCTCACCATTAACTCTTGCCGCTACCATTGAGAACTAAAATAGGAAAGCAGATGGAGAGAAACTGTCAGATGAGAGTGAGTCAAACCTGCCCTACTTTTTGACAAGCTGCAGAACAAAAGATCATTTGTGTCAAAGTGATATCATAATGTTCTACCTTTTTAGATTAATATAGCGTCTCTCTATATATACACCCGAAAAATCATGATTACACCATCACGTGCACCTTAAACCCTGAAACTGTGAGTAAACAAGTAAAATTTGTATATCTAAAAAGTCAAACACACTTGTTATAACATTAAAGGTTCCGTTTCGCAGCGAAGAGATATTAAAGCATAATGTCTGTTATATGCATAGAGTTACTTCAAAATATCTGATACTTTTCACAAGTGATATTTTCAAGTATTTTTAGACAAACTTGACTCTAGAACGACTATTTCCATGTTATATGAATCTATTTAATCAGTTTTTTCTATGAACAATTTCAAGGTCTGATTGTGTGACTCGAAAATGTTTTCTCCTTCACTCAACATCTCATCTTGAATGTGGTATGAAAATTTGAACATAAATTGATTTCATCATATAACCACTCTTCCTTTTAACCTATTTTTAACTCGGAGCGAGAGTCAGAAAATTCTTAGAGGGAAGACGTTAATAATATTGTCAATAAGATTAATTTTACAATCTTTTTCATGAGTGTTTATTTGCTCTATTCATCCGACACTGCGTCAATATTAATAATAATAATAATAATAATAAGCAAAGTATGTGAGAGGGTGATGTAAGTAAGTATTCTGATAATACAAAACATTCTCACCTGGAATAGAAATAATCGCAATAATAATTATTTGACTTGAAAAAAAGCTTGTCAGCATACATCGTATGATATCAAGGTAAAAGTCTTACATGTAAAATAAAATCTGATATCTCATCTTTTTTAAGAAAAAGAAGAAGAGTAAAATACCTGAAAAAGTGCTACACGCATACAATATCGTTTGACACTCATCGAAAAGGTACGACATGACATATTTGTTTCAAATTTCAAATATATCGTATATCTCTCAGTCGAGTCGACGAGGTAACTTATGACAATAACATACTATGTATGTTTAATATCTTTCATATCTTAGCATAAAGAAGCAATACAACATCTTATATACAGTTTCAGGAAATAGTATCGTCTTCTATCTCAGAAATGGGAGCTTTGCAGAAAGTGATATACAATATTTTTTCTACTTGTAAACTTCAACGTCGTTCTTTCATTTGTTACTCTGATAAGGAGTTTCACAAAAAAATAAAAAAAACTTTATGCTCGCAAACTGTTTTAAGTAGAAAAAAGAAGAAGAAGAAATAACTGAAAGTTCGTATGATTGAAAGAAACAATCGATCGGTCGATTTGTTCCATCGACGCTTAATTTTGTACAAATATCATTTATCTAAGGTAAGTAAAAATTTTCTTCATTTGACTAAAAATTTCTTCTATTTATAATATTACTTTTCCATATACATCATTGCATTACTTATTCTTGTTTAAACTCTAATTTTGAAGACATGAATTCATACTATGAACGGTTCACTATACATACAAAACAAATCACACCTCCATTACAATCGTTTTCCATTTTCTTTCATTTTTCTAAAAGAACTAAAAAAAAAGGTGAGACTGTCACATTCTTTGATACCATGTATTGTTTTACGTCTGTCGATCACTATTTTCTTCTCCGTTCTTATCCTTTTTTCTCTAATTAACAACATCTATTTTAATAGTAATGTTAATAATGTTAAGGTGGCGGAGTGATTTATCGTAAAAACAGACACCCATATTAAGTAAGCCACAATAATTTTTTTGCTCTCTCTCTCACTCCTTCTCTTTCTCTCTCTCTCTCTCTCTTCCGCTCTTCCCTTTTTATCATTTCTATTTATATTCAGTGAATAATCGCCTATATACGCAAATTGACGTTGAGATTTATTTCACTCATTTATTATATTTTTTTGAATAAATAATAATAACTGAAATTCTGTTCTTTATCAATACCAAGTATCAACTTAGATTTATATTTTTTTAACAAGAATAATCGAGAAAATAAACCTATATACATGTTTTTTATTATTAAAAGTGTCAAATAGTACGCTGACTCTACTGATTTTAAAATTTGCTTAAAACAAGGTCATAAAAGCACTTATACGGCTTGTCTTCTTTTAATCACATTCATCTGTTTATTCAGTAAATGAGAAAGATAAATATTTTTTAAGTATCATTTATCATTGACAAAAAATATTTGGAAACGGCATCTAGTCAGAGTATGAAAGAATTACATGTATAACATTGAATTTTAAAACGAGACGATCTAATCAATGAATGGTTCAACGAATGTAAGTCATATTATAATATAAAATAATATACATTGTTTTTGAAATGCTGTTTTCTTTCTATTAGGTAAGAATAACTTCTTTTTTTTTCCATTAATCACAGTAATCGTCATACGCTTTTCGATTTTAACTATATATAACGTAGTATTGTAAAGCCTCAAATAAAACAAATATAATGATTATTTTATATTAATTTATTTAGTTGTATGTACTTTTTTTATAAGAACATTGTTCACATGAAGTTTTAAATTTAAGCATCGCCTCAGGGTAAGAGTGACATCGACAAGAAACTTAATAAAAAAATTAAAGCTTAGAAACGTTTTTTGTTCAATATCAACTCTTCATGTCAGATGACAGACTTCATTCCTTGAAACAAATATATATAATTATGGATCTCCTATATGTCGAAATTCTATTTTTAAATAATTTCACGAGTTATTTGCACATTTTTTGTTATTTCATTCGTGATAACTAGGTCATATTCGTTCTGTACGCTATTAGTCTTAAAGGCAACTTGTCCTATACCGATTTTTACTGGAAAAAAAAAAAGAAACGGCTAAAAGGTAAAATATTAAGCTCGAAAAAGACGCCTACCTTTTCACACTCACTCAAAAAGGATTACAGGTAGTCAAACTTTTATTGTATAACGCTTTTTCAGCAAAAAAATATCGTGGGTAAAAGAAAAAATTGCCCAGTCATCTTAGCATCGTATATATAATAAAAATACCATATCATTTGAATAAGGGTAACATTTGCATTAGTCGCTTTAAATATTTTCTCTACAGAATTACAGACAGAAACGGTAGAAAAGACAATCTTCTATTAATCTTTAAAAAAATTCAATTATTAATGGCGAATATTGATTCAATTACGCGAATATTATCGAAAAAGGTATCAAAATTATAGATATGAGGATTACATTCGAAATTAGTGTGGAATTTTGATGAACATAGACAATACTTGTGAATGAGTATGTACATACTATAGTGAAAAAGGGAGTGTTGATTTCTTTACTACATTATATATATAGGCTAAAGAGAAGGAGAAATATCGATTGGACACCTGTGACTATTACATGTATATAGAGGTATGTTAGATACCATGTGTATAAGGAAATAATCTTGCTTTAACTAAAGTTAATATGAATTATCTCTAATGTAATGTTTAGGATAGGATAATGAAAATGAAAATGAATTGTGTAATCATTAAATGAATGATAAGATAAGTTTCTTTCACTTGTTCTTATCATTCTTTAATAATTATAAATTTTATATATTTTCTTGCGTCATATGAATGATGATGTAACTCTTAATCGATAAAAAAACACAACACAAAATCAAAATCAAACAAACCACTTGAATTTAGTTGAAGATTTTCTTTCATAGTTAACCGGAAGACATATCTATGCATAAGAAGACTATCTTTAATTTATTCTAACAGATAGTTAACAAAATTTTTCTACACAATCTAAAAATAGATAATCGAAAAAAAAAGAAAAAAGAAAAGAAGTTACATCACTTTGATATTTTAAGGTATAATTGTTTATATATTCGAGTGATGATTGTTATTATTTATTTTCATAAACAATTACATGTACCAAAGTGTTAGAGCGTAGAATGACTAGACTTAAAATCGGATAAAAATCAGTGTGAATGAATGACAAGCATGCAATAATTAGTTATTCCTATTCATTTCAAAATATAGTACACTTTGCGCCTTTTTGAATTTTTTATGACTAATAGGGAAAAGATAATAAACATGTGTGTTTTTTATCATTGTGTAGAAAAAAAAATCTAGAAGAATCTTTCTATGCAAAGATTAAATCCAATTGGATAAATTGTTACTTTTTCATTTCAATACATGAATAAATCCATAAGTCTGTGCTCAGTTCAAAATTTTTAACCATCATCATTAACGTAGACGCTCGAAGATTGATCTTTCTTAAGGTCGTTAGAACTCAAGAATAAATAGTAAGTTGAATCTTATAGCAATGTTTTTTCTTGAAAAAAAAAAAACATAAAAATTTTAGTGTAGTCGTGTTCTAAGGAACATAAGCGATTTTAGACTATGTATATAGCGTAGTATCATGAAAAGTTCGCAACTCACTTAGAATACAATGAAAATCATTTTAGAATTTAAGAACATAATTGCAGGGTACATAAAAAAAAAAAAATAACAAAAAAGTCGCTAAAATGATATTATCAATAAAAAAAAACAAAAAAACCCTTTCAAACAAATTTAACTAAAGTATTTTTAAAATGGAAAGAAATTTTGTTTTTTCAGAGTTTTTTTTAGCGATGCGCTAATAACATGTGTAGAAGAGAAAAATTAATAAATTCGACTCTACATATATATTGTATAGATGAAGTGTCAAACGAAAACTTTCATTTCTATTTTTAATCTGTTTCTACCTAAATAAATCTATTAAGATTTATTTTATACATAATTATGTTAGTCTTTTTCAATATAAACGATGGTAATAACAACAGGAAGGAAAAATTTTATTTATTCACCTTATTTATTATTTTTAAATGACGTAAATCATGCAAACATATGAAGTAAACTTGTACCATTTAGCTTGCGTAGGTTTGAAATATTTATTAATTTGAGTTAAATAGGTAAACTATATTTGGATAAGCAAGTCAAAGTAAATTTTATTTAGAAATCCTCTTCTATCCACTAGAGACAAGGGCTTAAACTAGAGTACTCTTGAAAAAGTGTTTACATTAGAAATTATAAAGTATAATCAAAAAGGACGAAAAAATAACCTAAGAGGTTTTTTAATAGTTTGAAACTTCTTTTAGAAGGATTTAGGAGAATGTCATCACACGAAACCTTTGTGAGTTTAAGAAAGTTCATAAACTCTTTTGAATATTTGAAAAGAACTGAAACGAATTTTCTAAGATTATCATCGAATTCTATTAGTTCACTAAAGATCTAATGGATTTGTAAGGGTAATTTCTAAATCATTTTGGGTTTAGGAGCTATTTTCAAACACATTTTACTCTCGTAAATTTCTTTTCAAGAGTTTTCTAGCCTATGCTTTTTTTTCTGTTTGTTTACAGAGTACACAATATACCATATAAACCGTAATTTTATGTATTTTATTCATTTTTCAAAATATGAACGAGAAAGGTCAACATTGAGAAAACTATCCGCATTTAGCCTTCATGTTTTATAGAACAATCAAATGTAATTTACACATTTACACGGAATAAACATTCACTTTTTTCTCAGACTTTAGTCTCTCTCTCTCTCTCTCTCTCTCGCTTATCAGGGTCATAGAAGCGTCTCGGTAAACCACAACATTTGCTGACATCCTTGATTAAACTGTAAACAGCGATATCAGACTCGTTTGGAGTATGCCAAAAGAGAGGATAAATTAAAAATAAAATACGATTAAATAAAGTTTAACTATCGTGTGGTGATTTTGCTCTTGTTATTCATATTTTTCATACTTATTTAAACTGTGCATGTAAAATCACATATAACAAGCAAAAATCTTATTGTTTTGGTAATAAAAAGAACGTCTTTTTCTTTTTTAACTGGATGAAAGTCAGCCAGCTGTTAAAACCAAAACATTTTCTCATCTTATATTGGTCTTTTATTTATTAAAACACTCTTATAGCCACACATGTTTAAAACATACTACTAATCGAGAAAGAACAAGTTTTCATGGAGCTAAAATTTGCTTACATGTGTGTTTCAAAAAAAATAAAAAGAATGTGACATTTGTGTCTAATACCATTTAACTTGTCCTATAATATGGCTTAAAATTATGTACGTCACTCTTTTAGTATACTGTTGGTTTTTATCATAAGTTGTATTAGAAAGATGTATGATGATTTTTTTCTTTTTAACAAAAATCTTTTTTATTTTAAAAAAAATTGATTTTTTTAAAACTTTCCGACTTCTAATAAGTATACATTTGTATAATTATCGATTATTCTTATTTTCTTATCAATAATATTAAATATTTTATTTTTCTCTATTGACTTAAGGGTATAATCATCTTCTTAAAATATCTAATTAATCATATAACCACTATCTCACTTTTTCTTCTAACGAATAATTACAGATGTTCATCAGATTATGTCATTCTATGTTTTTTATTTCTTCTTTTCTCCTTGAGGTTGTATTCGGCTTCTATATATGTATAGACGACTTTTATGTATCATGTTAAAATAAAGGAAAAAAAAATCCTCAAGTAGGCGTCATTCTTATGAACATTTTTATTTTTTTATTTAACACCTACTCACAATATAATGTACAGAAGAAGACAAAAATCCTTCACGATCGTTTAACAAAATTTTAGCATTTTCTCCGTTCAACATTGTATATGTGAGTATTCCTACGCAATCCTTTCTTTTTCTCATTTCGTTCGATTTCAATCGACACATCTGATAATGACAAGTATTGTGCAATTGAGATATATTTTTTTGTTTGTTAAAATTTTCTTATTCTTTGTAGAAGAGCAGGAGAAAAATAATAAATTCTCTTCGTTGTTTTATTGTTGTTATTGATGACCTTTCTCTCATTTTCCATTATTAACGACATTATTCCAGAAATGGAAAAAGAAGATGCAAAAGAAAAAGAAAAGAGAAGAACGGAATATTTATAATAATATAGTATGAAAAAAAAGAAAAAAAACAACAACGAGAGAAGAAAAAAACTAAATTGCGTGGTTATTATTATTTTTTTTATTCGTTACAGAGCACCAGTAATACACGAAAGAGAATAAAAAAAAAGAGTAGCTTAATCAAGTAAAATTACATTACATTAGATGTATAGAAAGAAATAGAATGTTGTGTGTGTGTGTGTGTGTGTATGTATGTGAATGTGTGTTCATTTTTCATTTTTTTTTTCTAATCTCTCCACCCACTCACCTTGAACACTCAACTTACCAAGAGCTATTTTTCAACGAACCATTTTTATTTTTTAAGATATGTCACCGCCAACAACACATCTTTTAATACGTTCAAAAACAACTCATGATTTAAACAAAATGACCAAAGAAACAACAGAGAAAGATAACAATAATTTATTATTATTATCAAATTCATTATCATCAAGTTTAAATTCATTACCAACAACTGAATCTTATTCTAGTAGTCAACAAACACCATCATCCTCATTATCTAAGGCATCGAGTTATTCTTCATTAATCAATGATGATTTATTTCATTCATCATCATTATCAACATCATCGCCTCAATCATCTACGCCAGAAGATGAAATTGAAGAAGAAAGTGAAGATTTAACAACACCTGTTGAAAAACATAAAACAATGCCATTACCTGTCAATAAAAATGAACTTTTAACAACGCGTGAACGATTTTTACCAAAAAAACGTACATTACATTATACACAATCCGTATTAACTCATACACATCTCGCTAAATTATGTCCAATTTTAGAAGATACAATTGAAATACATGGAAATGGAAATTTTCCAACATTAAATATTAGACCAAAACAATTTGTATTAGATTTAAGAAAATTATTTCAACAAAATAATATTGATATATTGGATATCAGGTTAAATGGAGGTAAATGTTTACTTATATTTTTGTATCTACTTACTATAGCAAACAAATAGAAAATACTTCATATATGTAATATTTACTATATTACAGCTAAAATACTCTGACAAAACCAATGAATAAACGAGCACTCATTTCTCATAATAAAAAAAAAAGTAGAATTTTTTTTTTGTTTTATAACTTAAAATGATAATAATAACAAAATTATATTCGTATTTTATTTTGTATCAGTATCTCCTCTCGTTAGAAAGACTATGTTTGATAGTTGATTTTTTGATGTTTTTTTTTTGTTTAATTACAAATCTGAAATGCTTTCTCAGAGGACAAGCAAAGAACAAAACAGAAAAGAGAAAAAATATACATACAATGCTCACTCATGATTTTATGATAATTTGTTCAAAAACAATTTTTTCGTTTTTTTCTTTATTAGTTTGATTTTTTCTTTTAGTCTTAGAATATTGAGCATTGAGAAATATTCTTTAAAAATAGTTCTTTTAAGTTTTGTCAATTGATGATATGAATATACGTGAACGCATATAGTCATATTTTCAATCTTTTTGATACTTGATCTACATTGGCCTACGGATATTAATAATCTAATGTATTTAAACTTCGGTGAACTATTTTTAGCGTGCTATTTTTTTATAATTTATACGATGTGGAAAAAAAAAAAACGTTTTATTTTCAGGTCAATTGAACATACATACGTCATACTATATGTGGTAAAACTACGCTGATAGAAGAGAAGAAAAACAGAAACACACACACACATATAAACCTGTTGAAGAAATTAATCTTGTTGAGAGGCTAGTTAAGAGAATAAATGAATTAACATTTATTCTCTTCTTTCATAAAACAAAAAGAAAATATTTAATCAAATATTTTATATAAGTTGACTTAAAATAATAGTTTCAAGTTTCTTTTCTTCTTTTCTTTCTTTTTTTTTTTTTTTCTTTTTTTTTTTATATAAAAATAATATTATAAATTTATTTATATTAATTATTTATTTTTTATTTTAGGTGTTGCCTCATATGTTTTAACCAATGATAAATCGTACATCTATAATGATATTGATTTTATATTTCGTTGTGATTTATCTACAGAACAAAAATGGTCACAAATTAAATCTCTTGTATTTGAATGTATTTCTATAAATTATTTTCCACAAGGTACTACGCCAATATCACCCGTTATTTTACAACAAGCCTATGTTGAAAAAATGATTCGTGTTGTTAATCAAGAAAATGATTGTTGGGGATTAATATCATTATGTAATCATTATGGACAAAATTTTGAATTAAAATTTTTAGATCGAATGAAACGACAATTTCAATTTTCAGTTGATTCATTTCAAATTATATTAGATCCACTATTAGATTATTATGAAAAAGAGCAAAAATATGAAAAATTACCAATAACAAAAACATATTCAAAAACAAATGGACACTATGATAATCAACAATGTTTAAATGGAAGACAACAAAAATTATATGGAGGTAATTTTGTTTTAAAAATACAATTGACTTTTTATTATTAAAAATTTCTTTCTTCTTCTTCTTCTTTTTTTTCCTTGGTGTCTATTTTATTATGATTTTGAATGAGTTTATTTTGATCGCCTGATCATTTGTCAGCTAGTTAGAAGAAGAAGTAGAAAAAGAGAGAAGACTAATATTTTCTTTTTGACATATTTTTTGTTTCTTTTTTGTATATTGAAACAATAACATGTTGTTTTCAGCTGTAGTTTTTGAGAAAAATAACAACAACATCGTTCATTTAGAGAGAGAGAGAGAGAGAAAACCGGTAATTTGAAATACGTGTTGACATGTTCATGAAGAGGAAAGGAAAGAAGAGAAGGAAATGAGCGAAAGGAAACAGATTGCATTTGAAAATATATGTGTGCATCATTGTCTATCGGTTAATGGAAAAGAAGAGTGAAAAGTAGATATTAGTATATTGTAAGTATATATTATATTATTTTTTTATTAAAGAATAGAGAGAAAGTGGGCACTGATGGAAGAGATCAATTTGACCCTTTCAAATAATTGATCAATGACTGTGTATATATGTGTGTGTGTGTGTGTGTGTGTGTGTGAGAGAGAGAGAGAGATAGAGAGAGAAAAAAGAAGTATTCAGTTTTAAGTGTACAGAACTTATGTAGATAAGATAATTTATTTAATCATCATAA